CCCGCCGCCACTCTGCTCAGTCAGGGAGCCCGTCTGCCAGAACCAGGCAGCCTTCTGAGGCTACCTACAGAGCAAGTGCATTCCTTGGGGAGAGAACTTTCTAGGCAAGGCGAGTCCTCAGTCTTGAGCGCTCAGTTGGGGAGGGGCAGAAGACCCAGGCTCAAGGACGGCTGGGGCCCTGCCTGACCCACTCTCCCCAGCGCCCTGTGGTTAGCTTTGGCTGTGCCGGCTACGCCAGTCCTCGCCGAGAAGGCAGCTAAGAAGCACACCTGGCCTCCGGGCCTCTCTGCCGCCCACACACCCAGGCTTTGGGGGCCAGGCACAGGCTGCGGCCCCCACGATCTGGCTGGCATCTCTGAAGGCAGCAAGGAGGCTGTGAGGGGTCAGGCCCACTGTCCTCCATGCCCCTAAGCGTGGACAGAGCTTGTGCAGAGGCTGAGGCACCAGAGTCGGCAAGGGGGAAGACAGGAGAGCAGGAAAGAGCAGGGCGGGGGGTGAGGACCACTTCCCTTCTGGACAGAGGGAGGAGGCCTGGCCCTACCCCGGGTCAACCACCAGCCCTAGCCAGGCCCTCTGCACAGGGCACCAGGTGGCACCGAGCTGAGCCCAGCAGGGCAGCTGCCCCCCCCCGCCCCCCAGCTTGGCAGCCAAGGGCTTCCAGAGCCCTGTCCCCACTCAGCTCCTTCCCCGACCGCACAGGGCCTTCTCAGCTGCAGGGCAGGCTCAGGAGGACGGAGATTCCTCGAGTGCCATGGGCTGCTGGTGCTCTGGAACCTTCCGGAGGGTCTAGAAACCACTGTGTCGCAGCCCTGGGTGTCTTCCTCCCCCACTGTCCCACAAAGGGCCACCTCTGGCCCACCCTTAGGAGAGTCTCTGCTGGCCCTGGGCTCGCCGACAGAGGGCTCAGGGAGCTGGTGTCCCGGTGCAGGAGCAGAGCCAGCCTGTCCTGGGAACGCGTGCTCAGAGTCCCGCCAGCAGGAGTCTCCGTGACGGTGTGTGGACTGGCCTGTCCTGTCCACGGTGCCTCTCACCCAGAGATGCACTTGTCCCCCAGGGCCATCTGAACCCTGGTGACACGTTCAGCTGTCACGCCTGGGGAGGGACACCCCACAGTGCGCAGGGCGGCCTGCCCTGACGGGGAACGAACAGCAGCCAGGTGCCAAGATCGGGAAACCAACAAAAGCCTCTGTAACCGCGGGGTGTCCTCAAGGAGGGTCGGGAGGTAAGGGCCCAGGCCCGGGCTGGACAGACCACCGTTCACTCCTGCCCGGGACGAGCCACACAGCGAGGGTGAGGGTTCGAGCAAGGGGGCCGAGCCGCTGCCCCCACCTCTCCAGACCAGGGCAGACAGGCTCTGCACGTTACACGGCCCCGGGGAATCCGGGCGTTCGGTACCACCAGCTCCGGGTTGCTGCAGCCCCAGAAGGCCTCCCGGCTTTAGGGCCATCTCCCTGTAAGCCCTGAGACGGACAGACGGACGCGGACGCGAGGCCGCCATGGGGCTCCTGGGGCCCTCTGGACTCACCTGTCCGGTGGCCTGGCCTGAGCCGTCCGAGCACACGAACTGCACGAACTCCTTGAGCGAGTCCTGCCCGTGGTGGTGGTGGTAGCGGATGGTCGGGTGCGTGAAGTACGGGCTCGACTGCTGGATGATGGACGTGGAGGGGAAGTGCAGGGCCGACGCCGTGGCCCGGGGGCTCCCTGTGCGCGGGGCGGGGAGGAAAGGGCGTCAGGCTGAGGAGGCGGCCTGTGCGGGGTGGAGGGGCGCTGGTGGTCGGAGGGCGGAGGAGCCTCAGGGAGAGCGAGAAGCGGCTGGGATGGGAGCAGGGCGAGGCGGGCGAGGCCCGGACTCGGGCACAGACGTCAAGGCGACACGAAAGAAACCTCAGTCGTCCACACTGAGGACGTTTTTTGGTTTTTTTTTTTTTTTTTTTTTTTTGAGAGACTTGTTAAAGGGTCATGTGTGCTTACTGGAGACACAGAAACGGTGAGAAGGAAAGTGAGAAATCGCCCCCCGGGGAGATGGTCATGTTGCAATCCCTTCTCCTCCATTCTCCTCTCGGGATTACGAGCATCCGTGCACACGCGCCCGGTGTGAGTATTAAGCGCCAGGTCCGGGACTCGGACCACATTCGTCCATGTGGGAGTCCAGCACCTTAGCCACTACGTCCGACCGGCCCGTCGGTGACGTCTCACTGCGATACACATTGAAGTAAATGGGGGCCAGGCGGTGGCAGAGCAGAAGCACCTCTGGCCCCACAGGGAATGTCCTTGGTTCCCATCTGAAGACCTCCCTGGACACGCTGGCTGTGCGGGTGTGCCTGTGACCAGGGCAGGCTGAGGCTGGGGGTCGGTCCCCTGCTAAAGGGGCCTCTCTCTGTCTCACTCAAGAAACAATAAATAAACTTAGACACCTACTAACGGTGCCAGTCCTGTAGCGCAGCAGCTAAGTGCTATGCAGAGAAAGCCAGATCCCACATGGCCGACCATGGTTTGAGTCCCAGCCCCGGGAGCTTGAAAAACAGGCTGGGTATGTGAATGGGCGGAGTCTGGAGGGGCTGGAGAAATGGGGGAGGGCCTGCAGAGAGACCTCGCACCTCTGGGGGAGGTGTGCTTTCTCTCTCTTCCCCACTCCTCTCTCTCTTAAAATACGCCCTCTGGCCAAACAAAAAAGAAAGAATCAAACTGGCGAACTAGGGCGCACGGACAGCTACTTGCTTTTTTTAAAATTATTTTTTATTTAACTTTAATTTATTTTTAATTTTTTTTTTAATTTATTTTTAATTTTGACCAGAGTGAGAAAGCAAGTCACTAGGTCCAGGACCCGAACAGCCACGTGGGAGCCCGCCCCCCTTAGCCCCCATGCCCCCTGCCGATCTGCCACCGGCTTTTTTTTTTACCAATTATTTAACTTTATTATCATTATTATTTTCCACTTTGATCAGAGAGAGACAGAGAGAAAGAGAGAGGAAGTGAGAAAGCAAGCCACCAGGTCTGAGACTTGAACCGTGGTCGGCCATGTGGGAGTCCAGCGCCTTTAACCACCATGCCGCTTGCCGCCTCACGCCACTGGCTTTTATAACTAAAGTTTGATGAGAGCCAGCGCTGGAATTAGAGTGAGGCAGGTGAGACAGGGCCCTGCCACAAGATGGATCTTGTCTTTGTTTAAAATGATCTAAAACGGGACCAGCAGATGGTGTACGGTTATGTCACTAGACTCCCATGTGGCTGACCCGGTGGTTTGAAACACGCCGGGCGCGTGTGCGTGCGTGCCCGAGATCCTGAGAGGAGCACGGAGGAGAAGGGATTGCGGCGTGGCCATCCCCCCCGCGGGTGAGTTTTCACTTTCTGTCTCTCTCTGTCTCTCCGGTGAGCACACATGCCGTACAGTAAAAAGCCTCTCTCTAAAAAAATTAAATAAGCAAAATGATCTAAAATGCTGACATTTGCTTGTCGTAACCCCCTTTTCTTTGCAATCACTTTGATTTTTCAAAATGTTCCATGGAAGTATTATTTTCCTCGATGACTGAGTCTCTGGACCCCCTGACGTCCTTTGTGGGGGTGGGCACCTCACTCGCCTGCCTGGCCCAGGCCCTGGGTGGGTGTGGGGGTGAGGCCCAGAGGAGGCCGACGGTGTCCCGGGGCTCGGAGTGGAGACACGCCCAGGTCTGTGCACCCCGCCACGCAGGCTGCGTCTGTGTGCTCAGCCGCGTTACCGCCACGCACGTGCCCTTGTACACGCGACTGCCACCCCGGCGCAGGCCCCAGCTCTTCCCCTGGCCGAGTCCTCCCCCTCCCGCCTGTTTCCAATCAGCTCGCTCTTGCTCTCGGTTTCATTAGGAGGCTGAGGAAACTTGGCTTCTCTCTGGAGTTCATAAAAGCTGAGTGGGAGCCAGAGTGGGGCCTGCCGCTCTCCTGCTGCCTGTGCAGGGGCCGCGGCTCCCCGCCCCCACGCTGCAGTCACCACGCCCTGCCCCAGTGCAGGCTGTCTCTGGGCTTCTGGCCAGGAGGCCCCGCGAGGAAGCCGGGAGGTGGACCTCCCCGTACTCGGCGTCCGACAGCAGGGCCAGGAGATGGCAGTGGACGCAGGGCCACGCCGGAAGAAGACTGGGCCTCTCGCTGTCAGAGAGATGCCAGGGCGGGGAGGAGAAAAGTGATGGGGAGGGGCTCAGCTCCCAGAGCCTCCTGCCTCATCAGCTCCTGGAAAGATCTAGGCGTCTGACCCTGAACCCTCGCCGTCAGTGACACGGGAGATTCAGGGTGGCCCCAAGGCAGCAAGGGGGGCAGCTTCTCTCCTGGAGGGCAGTCCGGGCACCGCCCATCCCCTAAGCCCAGCCCTTCAGTTCCAGAAGTGGGCAGGGAGGCCCAGGTCTCTGTGGGGGCCGGGATCCTCCGTGCCCCACGCTAACTGCTACCCCGGCTCGGCTGTGCTGGGAAACCAGGCCCGGCCCAGCAGAGCAGGAGGGAAACCCCAAGGAGGACAGAGGGCAGGAGCGTGTGCCTTCCGGCCCACCCTGGGGTGCGAAAGGAGAATGGGTCCTAGCGGGCCGGAGGCGGCGTCGGCTTGAGGCACAGGCATGCACACACGCACACGCACACGCAGGCTCCACGCGTGAGCACAGGCAGTGAGAAGCGAGTGCAGAGGGTACTCAGGGACCAGGTGAGCAGGCCCAGGCCCGGACATGGCCGGGCGAGGAGGTGCCACTCTGGAGGGAGGCCCACGCCCATGCCTGCCGCTGTCGCCCCCGGCCCTCACCTGGCCAGCTGCCCCGGGCATCAGGCCGTCTCCCCGCCACCTCCCTCCAGGCCCCGGGTTCTCACCTGGTCTGACTCCAGCAAGCACAGGCAGCGGGTGGTGGGTGAAAGCCATGCGCGGGGAGCTGCCCTGAGAGGAGAGGGCGCTGCAGAAGTCCAGCTTTCCTGACTTCTTTAGAGAAGCCGGGCCTGGGGGGAGGAAGCAGCGACATGGCAGGTTTAGCGGCAGGGCAGGCAGGGCGGGCAGGCGGGAAGGAGGGAAGCCGGCAGCTCTGCTCCTTCTCTTCTCGGCCCCCACCTGGTCACCCCTTCCTCGCTGCTCCCTGTCCCCACCCCCAGGCTCTGTGAGCAGGCCAGGCAGGGATGCTTCTCACAGGAGAGGGCACCAAGGGGCAGCGTGTACTGAGCAGGCATGCACGGGGTAGGGTGTACCCTGCTCACCAGCAGGGATCGAATGAAAGGGTGGGCTACAGGAGGACCCAGAGAGCCACCCCGAGTGCCAGGGAGGGTGGGCAGAGAGGCAGAGGGAGGGGTAAGCCTCAGGGACAGGCTGGGGTCTGGGCCTGGGCTCTGAGCGTGGACGTTCTGTTTGGGGGAAGGCAGGGCTCCCTTTGGGAAGGGACAGCACAGTCAGGTCTCACAGGAAGGATGTGGTGTCCAAGACAACTGGGAAAGGCCAGAGAGGGCCCTGGGGCACAGGTGGGGGAAAGGACCCCCCCCTAGGAGACCCCGAGGCTGGGCTGCCACAGGACAGGTAGTTTCGGTAGCTGTTCAGCCCATGGAGCCAGAGGTGGCATTTGGAAGGAGCTGGACACGAACACCTTGTCTGAGCTCTGCCTCTGCCCCGTGGGCACGGCCTGCCAAGACAAGCCAGTGACCCCAGGTTGGGCCCAGGCTGGGCGGGGTCAGGTGGAGTCCGGCAGAGCTCTGAGCTGCCATCTCTCAGCTTCAGACAACAGATCACAGCTAGGTAGGGGTGGGGGCTGCAGAGCAGAGCAGTCAGAGCTGCCTCCTCCACTGCAGGGGGAGAGGCGGGGGAAGGGCGGACTCCCAGCCGCCAGCAG